TTTTCAAGATATCGAGTGAAATGGACAATTTTCGGTGGATTTAACGAGAATTTCAATAAGATCCTTCTTTGGACAGAAGAAACCGCAGTGGAAACCGCTTTATTTCGAATATCATGTTAGAAAACGAAAGCGAAAAGTGATAATTGGATTACGGGATCGATAAACAACTCGTCGACAAATTTCGAAGAATCGAAGACTTTTGATTCTATCATTGGAGACTATTTTTTTTTTTTTAATAGCAAACGAACGAAAAGTGGATTTTACTTGAATTACATCTCTCACGAAATGTAAGGAATCTTTATCCGGGTTTATTAATTAATAACAATTTGTTTTAATCAGAGGAGATAATATCACAAACTAATCTGATTCTTCTTTTTTTTTTACATATACTATCTCCTAACGCCAAAGAAACGCCATTATTTCGAATATCATTGAAGATTCTCTATCTATATACATCTATATTTTTTGTTCTTTTAACAACAAACGAACGAAGAATGTATTCTAATTAATCGATAAACAAATTCGTCGATTTTCGAATTTCGAAGAATTTCGTATACGTACCATCTCCCCTAATCAGCCTCAAAGAACCTATTCTAGAAAAAGAGGGAAAGGGGAAAGAAGAAAGAGAAAGAAAAAAAAAAAAAAAAAAGAAAGTTTCCAAGGTTGATCAAGGCGCCCATTTACCCCCGGAGAAAGATCATAGCGACGAATAAAAAAGGAGCGGCGACGAGCAGCAAACGAACGCTCCGATGACGGTTTCTCTCGAGATAAGCGGAGAGGTAGAGAAAAAGGGCGAACCGAGAGAGAGAGAAAGAGAGAGAGAGGGAGAAAAGAAAAATAGAAAATCGATCGATCGGCGTCGAAGCGACGGCTAAGTCGGACGAAAAACGTCGGACGAGGCACGTCGAAAGTAACGGGAGACGAGGGGGGGCAGGGAGGTAATCTCGCTACTCTTCGGCCTTTCCTCATTCAAATCCTACGCTAAATTTCAATCTGACGTGTACAAAAGTCGAGCCCTTCCTCCCTCCTCCCTCCCCTCCCTTCCTCTCCCAGTGACATAGCAGCGCGACTCGTGCTCGAGGCAACGGTCCATTTCTGCCATCCCCCCCATCCACCCCACCTACGTACATCCGAGGATGCACACGTGTGCACCAGTCCATTTGAATCTAGCCACTCGAACGCGCCCTGGGTACACTGCCTGCCAAAAGTACGTAGTATCACCGAGGGATGATTTTATATATATATATGGTATGGTGGCGTTGAATATGAATATATATATATATATATATAGGGAATCACTTTTTCGCGCCTAGACCGAAAAGAAATTAAAGTAGAATTGAGAGAATTGTTGTTACTTTTTGATTACGTAAATTCAAATTCAAAATCATATTTCCGTCGTGACCGGATCAATTTTCCATTTTACACGAGGCGAGCGAGTAATATAAACAACGAAAGAAAAAATTCCGAACAGTTTTTTACGTAACGCGGTAATCCAAACTCGGCTCTCGTCGTTAAAAAAGGGATAGAGAATCGGAGCGAAATCCATCCGTGTATAAATTTCACGAGCGAGAATGAGAGAAACGAACGAGAAGCGTACTCGTGGGACGAGAGTATTATTCGTCACATTGACATTCGTCAAGAAATATATCGAATATTCGCGTGCTGCAACTTTTGCTCGCCGATGTACACGTGTGCGTACAGAGAGAGCCGTACGTCCTTCCCCTCCCACCTCTCAGGCTCCAGTGGTCGAGTCCTTTTAAGCCGGCCATCCCCTCCCCTGCTCCCTTCCAAAGGCGCATCGCAACGTCCATTTCCCTCGATACAGCGATCCCTACTACGTATGTATCGGTTCCCGTGCGAGATGTGGAGCACTCATACAGAGAGTATAGGTGGATAGATAGGTAGGTAGGCGCACCTAATTAAACTTGGACGGGGAGGGGGGAGAGCACGTTAGACTTTCTCGACTCCGTTCGAATCGAAGCTCGAGCAGCCGCTATCGGTTCCTTCCTCCTCCGCCATGGAGACCACCGATTTTTGAGATAGACTGATTTTATTCCGCCCACCCTCTCCTTCCTTCTATTTGGAGTCGTTTCTCTGTTAGAGCGATACGGGAGAGGGAGGAAATGAAAGTTAGAATTCGTAGGTTTCCTTTTCCGGGAAAGAGGTTGATTCGCTCGAATTCGAATTTCGAGGAGACGGGTGATTAAATTATCCGGATTTCGATTTATCCTTCTTCCCCTTTTGTGGGCAAGAATTTGGATATTTCGATTCATCGAAATTGAATTTTTGATTGAAAAAGGCGGAATTTGACTAGGTTGTAATTGCGATGCAAGTTTTTCTTGGAAAATAATATATAAGAGGGGCATATATTATTTCGAATGATCTAAATATACGTATGTAAGTTTTCGAGAAAGATTTTCGAGAAGCAAACGATCCAAGATGTATACATGTATAATTGCATTATAAAACCTATAAATAAATGAATAATTTTTGCAACGAGAGGGAATATTAAAAATTTTAAATCGAAGAAGGATGATATTCTGATTCGATATTATTTCCTATACGGAGAATCGCGCGCGAATTTCACTACGAATGGAACGAGTGAATGAATAGATGATCGGAAGAAACTAGGATAGAATTCGAAGATATAATATTTAAAATTCTCCGATCTCAATCGAAATCTCGTTAATCCCTAATTGTTGATAGAAAATGTATTCGAATTTTTTTTCATAAATAAATCGGTGTGGGGGAGGGGGGGATCGATATCAAGTCTGGAATCTTGGAATCTGAATCGATTGGAAAATTCGCTAGGAGGGGAGGGCGAAGAACTATCGGCCGATTCGCGGAGATCAAAATACTGCGCGCCTTCGGCGGGGCTTCGCATTATTCACGAAGCGACTCGATGACGGCTAGATCGATGGAAAACCGGGGGAGGGAGGGGGAGAGGGAAGGGGCGATTAATTAATTCAATTGTACCGGATGACGCGCAGGATGATCTTCCTTTCCAACCCCTTCCCGTCCGCGTATAATTTTAATTCTTTTTTTTTTTTTTTTTTTCTTATTCTCGATTTTAATTATTTTCCTATAAGGAACGCGTCACTCCTCGATCCCGTAAATTCGTTTCGATCGTTCGTTTTTTTATCAATTCGATCGTCGACTCGAAATCCAACCCCTTTCCATCGCGTATAATTTTCATTTTTTGTTTTCGATTTTTATTCTTTTCCTAAGAAACGTGTCACTCGATCCGGTAAATTGAATTCGATAGTTTCGAAATTTAAATTTTTCGCTTTTGATCAATCGATCCCGTAAATTTAATTCGATCGTTTCGAAATATTTTTTATTTTTTATACTCGATTTTAATTATTTTCCTAAGTCACTCGATCCGGTAAATTCGATCGTTTCGAAATATTTTAATTTCTTATTCTCGATTTTAATTATTTTTCTAAGAAACGTGTCACTCGATCCGGTAAATTCAATTCGATAGTTTCGAAATTTAAATTTTTCGGTTTTGATCAATCGATCCGATAAATTTAATTCGATCGTATCGAAATATTTTCATTTATTATTCTCGATTTTAATTATTTTTCTAATAAACGTGTCACTCGATCCGGTAAATTCGATCGTTTCGAAACATTTTCATTTCTCATTCTCGATTTTAATTATTTTCCTAAGGAACCTGTCACTCGATCCGGTAAATTGAATTCGATCGGTTTTCGAAATTTAAATTTTTCGATCGGTCTTAATCATTTTCCCAGTAGAAACGCGTTGATCGGTTAAATTCAATTCGATAAATTCAATCCGCCTCGAAAATCATTTTCACAATTTTTTTTAAAATTCCCTTTTCTCCCCTTCTGCAAATTTTCAAAATTTCTTCGCAAAGAAACTTCCTCCTCAAACTTTACTTTGGATTTATACAAATTCAATTCAATTCGTCTCCCATTAAAAAATACACTACTCTCCCCCCCCTCCACTTTTGAATATAACACAAACCCCTTTTATCGGATTCCCCCTGTTTAAAAATTTTCAACGACTCTATTTTCTACCCCCTTCTTTTTCGAAAAGAAGAGGGCTTTCAAAATTCATCATAAAATTCGGGAGACAAAATCCGGGATCCCGTTCAATCCTTAATTCGTCTAATTGAGTCGTGTTTCTCTCTCTCTCTCTTTCTCTCTCTCTCTGAACCCGAATAACACCGATTAATTTCTAATTTCTAATGGCGGCATCCGTTCGACTCTCCTCCCTCCCTCCACCCCCTATCCTTTCGTCGCGACCCAATTCATCGAGATTTCGACGAAATCACCCCCTCCACCCCCTCCTTTGCCTCCCATCGTCCCAAGAAGAAGAAGAAGAAGAAGAAGAAAATTTGGGAGGGGGGGGGGAGAGAAAATTTAAGAAGAGAGAGAAATCGATGTTTGAGATACGATACGCCTTCTTGACCCCCCCACCCACCCACCCTCTCCTCACCCGAAAATCGGTATTCGAAGAGGATAATCGAAGATGGCTGAAATGTCTCTGTCTTTCTCTCTCTAGGAAAAAAAAAAAGAAAGAAAAAGGGGGTAGAGGGGGGAGATAAAGAATCGATCAGATCTAGCTCGTTTTAAAGCTTCGTCTCGAGGGTGGTTAAGGGGTGAAAAAGATTCTCCAAGTGTTCTTCCAACCACTCAGAGAACTGACCTCTCTCTCTCTCCGTTTATCATATATATTGTATTTTACATCCTCGAGGGGGAGGGTGAAAAAGGGGTTATGGTTACGCGCAAAATTGTTCGTGTTTCATTTATCATTTCCTTTTTCCTTCCGTCGTCTAATCCGATTAATATAATAATGATTGACAATAACATCTCGACTGTGATAATACGCTTTTTGTCGTGATTTTGGAGAGAAAGAAAGAAAAAAAAAAAAAAAAAAAAAAAAAAGAAGAAGAAGAAGAGTAAGAAGAGGAAAGAAAAATATCGTAGTAGTAGTAGTAGTAGTAGTAGTGATGTAGTATTTAACGATATTACCATATGAGTTGTGAAACTGTTGGTGATGAGACTCGAGACCGGTTCCTGGGTGGTGGATATCCAGCATGGCTTCCGGCTCGCCTCCGCTCTCGGCAGAGCAGTTGCTCAGGGCTAAAACCAAACCGATAGACACACACCTTGCGTTTAAACTTCAAATCAGTTTTTGCGATTTTTTTTTTCTTTTCTTTTCTTTTCTTTTTTCCGTAAATCGCGCGAAGATACCCTCGGCCTTGTAATTTTAATTTCGCGTCCCGCCGCTCTCACCCCTTCCCCTTCCATCTCTCTTTCTCTCGAAGAGAGAGAGAGAGAGAGAGAGAGAGATCGATGGATGGAAATTTTCTTCTTTCTCTTTTCAGAAAAATTTCAAAATCATCCAACTTCCAACAGCCTGCTTGGAAACATATAAGGATATAAATAATAATTCTTCCAAGCAGCCTGCTCGAAGGGGAGGAAAAAAAAAAAAAAGGGGGGGAGAAGAAGAAAAAATACGCGTCCATAATTGGGAAGGGGTGGCGAGCTGTTTCGATTCTCTCGTTTTCCTTCGCCCGATTTCTTCTTCTTCTTATTCTTCTTCTTCTTTCTCTTCTTCTTCTACTAAGCGTGACTTCGTTCTCCGTTTCCTCCGTTTCGAAACAAGAAAACTGAAGAAAATCGGCGAAAAAAAGAGGCGAAAAAACGTGCCGTGAAAGAAATCATAAAACACAAAGCGGGGGGTATTGTCGTCGCTTTATCAAAAAGGTAAACTTATTAACGAATTACAAACTGAAATCCTGGATCGAGGAGGTGTCCACGAAATTCAAAATTCAAAATTCAAAATTCGAAATTCAAAATTTAAAATTCAAAATTCGAAATTCAAAATTCAAAATTCAAAATTCAAAAGAAAAAAAAAATCTTCGAGGACACCGACTTCGACCAGTTTAATCGCTTTCAAAAAAAAAAAAAAAGAAAAAAAAAGAAAAGAAAAGAAAAGAAGGAAAGAAAAAAAATATAAACGGTTGATGAAGGGGAAAAGAAGCGAAAAATTATGAGCGGAAAAGCAACAGAGGGATGAAAATGAAATGAAAAGAAGAAAAGAAAGGAGGAAAAATAAACTTAATATAACACGTGGGGGGGGGGGGGTTAAGAGAAAAGAAGAAGGGGCGGGGGAGAAGGGGGTTGAAACTGAAAGGAAAATTCGGCGAAAGAAACGCGGAACGAAACCATCCATTTCGATTGCGTATATCTACGGGTGCGTGTCTTTGTCTATCCGTTTGGCTGGCTCGAGACCAGACTGTGCCTTTCTCTTTCTCTCTTTCTTTCTCTCCTTCTTTCTTTCTTTCTCTCTTCCTTTCCGAAGAGTTCTCTCCGCTGCGATCTTCCGATGGTCGAACTTCCGTGGCCGTTTCTTCGAGCGATGATTTTCCCCCAATTTTTCCAAATTCGAAATATACACGTCTCATCTTGATAACGTCACGATGATATAAATGGAACGAAAAGTTTTACGAAAAGTTGTTCCCAACCCCGAATCTGGGGAAGGGAGAAGGAGTTGTCCGCTAGATTGATCATAACCTCGATGGATGGATGGATGGATGGATGGAGAGAAAGAGAGAGAAAAAAAAAAAAAAAAGAAAGAACTACTCGATTCGAACAGTTTCATCTCTGTCGATATGTCGATAAACAAATTCAAAAAAAACGTGTATTTCTCAATTCTTCGATTCTTCAATTCGAATGAATACGATAATCTAACATCTAAGATAAGAATCGTTGAAAGGAATAATATTCCAACACGATCTAAGAAACCATCACACATCGAGAAACTCGAGAAGGAGGGGGGGAAGAAAAGGGGATCAATCGTCGCGATAAACAAATATCCAACTCGATCGAGAGGGGGGGAAGAAAAGAGGGTCGTTCGACGATCTCGACTCCTCGTTGAATCACTCGAAAACTTGGCGCGAAATGATCGTTAACCGTGCATGCGATCGGGAAAGAACCTGTGTCGCGGAAAAAAAAAGGGCCGTCTATCTCTCTCCCTCTCTCGTTCGACTCGTAGAATCATCCCCCTTCCACCAGCCTCGGTACCAGCCTGTACATACGGGAGTCACGTACGTAACGGTAGCGGACTGACATGTATGCCTCGTAACAGTAAGCCGGTTCCCACCGAGAACCCTGTTACGCTACACGTTTCTACGTGCCGTGGAAAAGAGGGTAGAGAGAGAGAGAGAGAGAGAAAGGAGGGTTGCATCCCTCTCTCTCTTACCTTCGAGTGTGTACACAGGTATACGCGCGCGCGCGACGAAGACAGAGAGAGAGAGAGAGAGAGAGAGAGAGAGAGAGACAAACAGTTGCGCGTATGCACGGACGCGTTGTACACCGCATGACGTGGAGGATGAGTCAGCTAGTGGAACAGAATTTCAGGGAGAATTCATCGAGAAACTTTTTAGCAAGGAAATATTTGTATAAATCCTTCTTCTTCTTTTTTTTTACTTTTCTCTTGACTTGGAGGGGGCTCGAGATCGAGAAATCCATTAATTTAATTTTCGATTTTTACGAGGGGAAGAGAGGGAGGGGGGTTCGTTTTCCTTATGTATTTTTGATGATTTTCCTCGGAGCGAAGAGCGGAACGTTGGCTCGCCAATTTCACGAACAAAATACGCCTCGTGACGTTACTACGTTGTATCGCGCGCGATGATATTTTTAAGGGGAGGGGAAAGATGGAAAATTGCAATCTAAGGGGGGGTAAAAAAGGGAAAGAAAAGAAGGGTGGAAAATTAGAAAAATCTCTTTTCTATTTTCGACGAGCGTCGACGAGCGAAAGAATTCTCGTTAACCGTTTACCGTTTGCCGAGGCCTCGTTCGAGGAGAACGGGGCTTATCGTAAAACATACCAGTGTCGACTTTCGTTTATCAACGAGCCGAGTGTGAAGTTTAATTCGAGCCGCGCGCTTTCAGCGACCGCGACAATGCCTTCGCGGGAACGCGACGCGAAAAATCAACTGTTCATCGCGCCGGGAACAAATAACGCCACTCCTCCCCCCTCCCATCCTCTCTCTCTCCTCTCCCCCTCCGCCCAGGTATTTAGAGGAGCGCCTATGATTTCCAACGAGGCGGCGCTCGAGTTGGAAAAAAATTTCTTCGAACTTGTCGCTCTATCTGTCTTTCTCTTTCTCTCTTTCTCTGTCTGTCTGTCTCTCTCTCTCTCTGGGTATCATATTACACGTATATTCCTCTATTATATTATATTATTTCTCTATTCGCATGTTTTGGTGGAAGAAAAAAAAAGGGGGGGATTTCCCTCGTTCTTCTGCCATTCTTCTGGAAGAAAGGAAGAAGGATATATAAGATAGAATAGGAATGACAAACGAATAGAAAAGAAGTTTCAATAATAAATTTTTGAATATGTTATTTCTAATTATTTATCCTTCCCCATCTGGAAGGAGTACGAACGTACGAGTACGATTGCGAAAACAGACTCGATTATTTTTCTTTTCAGTGGTCCGGTCGGACAAGTTTGTTTTCGACCAGCGATGGGCAATGGAAAGGCTGTTCTATTAGATAGCCGGCCGGGGAGGGAGGGAAAAGGTGCAGATGCGACGAACACCTTTTCTGGAACAGCTGTTGCGTCGAGCGTAGGAAAATCCTGACCTTCGACCCCCCCCCTCCACTCTTATTTCCTCCCTCCCTCCTCCCCTTTCGTAATTATCCGATCTAAGAATGGGAAAGAGGGAGCCATTTCTCGATCTAAGTTTCTTTCGTGATTTTTCAATAGACGTCTTGCAAAGATAGCAGTTATAGATCCAAATGTCGAGACGTGACAAGCTTTCAACAAGAAAAATATAATATAATTATATTCGTTACATAACAATATTATCCGTTGTAAAAAGAAGGAATAATTCGTTCGTACTTGGAAAGTAAATTTCTTCGAAAATTACTTTAGAAGAATATCTCTCATTCTCTCTCTCTCTCTCTCACGTATTGACAATTACGTGATTTAAAAGACACGAATATTCCTTTATCTAACTCGCTAAATCTTTCGAATCTCAAAGTTGTGAGAGCGAAACACGGAACACCTCTGACCTTTTCGTCGGAGAGAAAAGGATCGCCTCGACGGATATAGAGCGAGGGACAGAGGTGAGATTCACTCGTATATAACGTGACGATGAAAACAGAAACTGGATGGCCTTTTATTCGCTCGAAGAGAGCGATAATCGAGATAATCGAGTTTTTTTTATTTTTCTTAAAAGGAAAGGTTTTGCATTGAAACTTGGGGAGGGGGAAAGCGGAAGGTGGAAACGGGATCCGGAGAGGCGAAGCCACAGGACACAGGATGTGCCGTGGATGAAGGGGAGGGAGGCGATGGTTGACAAGGGAATTCAAGACGAGCGGAATTCGCTGGTGGTGCGTCACGCACGATTCGCACATGCGAAGAGCGTGTGATGTGTATGGCCTCCTTCGAGGCGGTAGGTGTCGCGTTTCGGCGCGTGCTCCCAACACCGCATGGAAACCGCTTACCCGTCCGCCCCTCCTCCCCCTTCCCATTACTCGAAAAATAATAATCGCGAGCGAGCGAATTTGTCGAGGCGATAATAAAGATCCTTCGAGAGATACGATTATATTTTTTGTTATAGAGGAGTAAGAAGGTTTTATTTATTTATTTATTTTTTTTTTTGATCTTGATTTCGATTTCTCTCTCCTCTTTTATTCGCAAAGAGAATAATTCGATTCGAAGATTATTTGAGATTGTGAGTAAATTTTATTCGTCGATCGAGTTTCCAAGTGTCTTTCGAGATCGATGTTGTATAGTTGTATTTTTAATTGGAGGAGTATATATGGGCAAATTTTATTCGATCGAGTTTAAAATTGTTTGAGATCGAAGGTACAGTTGTATCTTTTAATTAGCAGTGCGAAAGTTTTTGTTTTTCGATGAGAATCGAAAATAATTGAATAAATAATTCTACTCGATCGGATTTAAGATCCTTTGAGATCGAAGTTGTACAGTTGTACTTTTTATAGGAGGAATATACGGGCAAATTTTATTCGATCCTTCGAGGTCGAAAGTACGGTTGTATTTTTTACCAGAGCAGTGCGAAAATTCTATTTTTCTCCTTCATCTTCCCTTTTTATTCGCTCGAGGA